GGGGGGTCCTCCCAGCCCCGGTCTGGGTCTTAGTGGGTCTGGGGGGCTGGGTCTGGGTCTTAGTGAGTCTGGGGGGTCCTCCCAGTCCCGGTCTGGGTCTTAGAGGGTCTGGGGGGGCTGGGTTTGGGTCTTAGTGGGTCTAGGGGGGACTTCCCAGTCCCGGTCTGGGTCTTAGTGGGTCTGGGGGGGGTGCTTACCCTCACACTGGGTCCCGTTGGCCCTCTGGAACCCGGCCGGACAGCTGCTGTTGCTCTCTCCTGCCACCAGGGGGAGCAGGCAGAATCAGAGTCAGAATTAGGTTTATCGCCAAGTGGGTTTTTAGACTTACAAGGAATTTGCCTTTTTGGTGTTTGGTGCACAACACAAGGCTTCTATGAGAAACAAGAAAGGACAAACAATGTAGAAATCAAAATATAGGATAAAACAAAATAATATTAATAGTAAATAATAAAATGAAATATTGAATGTCCAACGACAGAAGTCTGCATGTTCTCCTGTGTCTGTGGGTTCTCTCCGGGTTCTCCGGCTTCCTCCCACCCTCCAAAAACCTGCATGTTAGGCTGATTGGAGATTGGGGAAATTGCCCTTAGGAGTGACTGTGAGTGTGTGTGGTTGTTGGTCCTTGTGTGTCTCTGTGTGTCCCTGTGATGGACTGGGGACCGTCCAGGGTGACCCCGCCTCTCCCCATTGGCTACTGGGATAGGCTCCACTTGGATGGATGTCCAACGACAGACCAGAAAAATGCTGACAGTAGCATTGTGTAAATTAGTGAGACAGAGGGGGGGGGGATAGGTGGGGGTCACTGGTCTTGTTGATGAGGCCAGTTGCTGCTGGAAAAAAACTGTCTTTATTAACAATATCATGATATCGTTATGTTCCACTCATTTTAATGCTCTTTTTAAAATCATTTAGTCTTTAATTCTGATTGAAATGAGATCATCCATCATTCCTGTTGGCAGAACACCTCGTTGATGAGGCCAGTTGCTGCTGGATAAAAACCGTCTTTATGGCGTGAGGATTTGGTCCTGATGGTCCTCAACCTTCTGCCAGAGGGGAGGGTTTCAAAGAGTTTGTGACCAGGGTGAGAAGGATCAGACATGATCTTAAAGTCCTGGAGGCGTACAGGTCCTGGAGGGATGGCAGATCGCAGCCAATCACCTTCTGGGCTGAGCGAATGATACGCTGCAGTCTGCCCTTGTCCTTAGCGGTGGCAGATGGAGATGGAGGAGGTGAGGATGGACTCAATGATGGGAGCAGGCAGCGTTACCGGGTTACCGGGTTACCGGGTTACCGGGTCCTCGCCGGTCAGTAAAAGTCCAGTAAAAGAGCCTCTCTGAGCCTCTGGAGACAGTTGGGGGCTGAATACATACGTTTTCAGTGTTTTATTTATTAAAAAAAGTTTGAAATTTTTTTGACCAGTCTTATACAAAGTTTGTATGTTTGGGAGAAATTAAATAAAAGTTTAAAAAAATAAAAATAGATTTAAAAAAGTTTGAAATTTCCAACAAATTTAGTTTAAATTCATGATTTTGTCCCACTTTACAAATCACAATTCTATATCTTTATGTTTGAAGCCTGAAACTTTAGTAAGGCAATAAGTTTGGATTTCAAAGAGAAAAATGGATCCTTTTTAAATGAGGCTTCGTTTTGAGGGATTCTTCCAGTTTTCTCTCCTTTTTGGGGGCTTATTTCTGAAGCTGTGGGGTAAATTTAGGCGATAAAAAGCTGAATTATTCCGTTTTTTCTGATAAGTGAGTCAATCTTGTGTTTGGATTTCAAAGCAAAGAAATTAGCCGGATCCTTTTGAAATGAGGCTTTTTCTGCCTGTCTGACTGCAGCTTCGTTTTCAGGGATTCCTCCCGTTTTCTCTCCGTTTTGGGGGTTCTGGGAGGTGTATTTAGGAGGTAAACACTGCCTTGTGTACCTGTTTGTGGACAGAGGACGCAGTCGGTGAAGCCCCAGCCTTTTCCTAGTCCCCGGCAGCACATGTCCCGGCTCCTCAGGCCCGGGAGGGGGGAGCTGCACTGCACACACAAACACAGAAACCATCACAAAACACCAGGAAACAACAGCAAAAACACAGCAAAAAACACCAGGAAACAACAGCCGAAACACCAGGAAATAACAGCAAACACACCGGTAAATAACAGGAAAAAACACCAGGAAGTAACAGTAAAAACACCAGGAAATAGCAGCAAAAACAACAGGAAATAGCAGGAAAAACACCAAGAAAGAACAGGAAAAACACCAGGAAACAACAGAAAAAACACCAGGAAATAACAGGAAAAACACCAGGAAATAACAGGAAAAACACCAGGAAACAACAGAAAAAACACCAGGAAATAGCAGCAAAAACACCAGGAAACAACAGAAAAAACACCAGGAAATAGCAGAAACTGGAGCTCAAATAGCCACAAACCATCACAAAACACCAGGAAATAGCAGGAAAAACACCAGGAAATAGCAGCAAAAACAGCAGGAAATAACAGCAAAAACACCAGGAAATAGCAGCAAAAACACCAGGAAATAGCAGCAAAAACACCAGGAAATAGCAGAAACTGGAGCTCAAATAGCCACAAACCATCACAAAACACCAGGAAATAGCAGGAAAAACACCAGGAAACAACAGCAAAAACACCAGGAAATAGCAGCAAAAACACCAGGAAATAGCAG